GGTGGGGCTGAGAGAGCTCTGACAGAAATGGCTCTTTTTTCAAGGACAGCTCTTATCAGAACTACGGCTTGCCCAAGGTCATCCAGCCAGGTGCAAGTGGAAGAGTGGGGAATCAAACCCGGTTCTCCCATATGAGAGTCCGCGCACTTAACCACTACACCAAACTGGCTCTCCTCTATGAACATAGTCACAGAACATTTCGGTTCCTAGTTTCATTATGTGCTCTCAGCATTCCCCTCCCCCCAAACACAAATATACAAGACTAGGAAAAAGGCCCAAATACAACGGCCTCTAGAAAGAGGCTCTGGGGGGGTGCCCCGGCCTTGGACACTCAGTGTCAATTTGCTGTGGCGACCTCAGCAAGGTATAATGACACTGAGTCCACCATTTTCTCCAGAGGAACTGATCTCTGCTACCTAAAGGACAGTTGCCATCTCCACCCTTCACCTGGAGATTGGCAACGATAGTTCCCCAGAAGGGAATGGTTGGTTTGGAGGGTGGAGTCTATGGCTTTGTACCTGTCCGAGGTCCCACGCCTCCTGAAACCTAACCCACGCCAGGCCCCATCCCTCACATCTCCAGGAATTTCCCACCTGGAGTTGGCAATCCTATCTCCTTCCCAGCCAATCATCACCCTACCTTTATTTCCCCCTCACTCTTCAGCTTTCCACCCCCCACACACCTGCAGCCTCTCCCGTGCTCTAAAGCCCTGACTGCTACGTCACATTGGCTGTCATACAGGGGCCATCTCAGCAGGATATAAGGACACAGAGTCCACCCATTTCTCCAGGGGAACTGATCTCTGCCATCTGCAAAGCAGTTGTAATTCTGAGTGATCTCCAGCCCTCACCTGGAGATTTGCACCCATGGTTTCCCCCAACAGACACTAAGGGGAAATTTATTTTACCTCAGAACATCAACAGCAAACTGTTTAGAATGTTGGGGGCAGGACTCAGGCAAAGCAGCCAGTGGATAGGGAGCCCCTCTGAATGACAGATCAGAGAGCGAACTGATTTTGGAGCATGTTGGATTGTTCAGGGGAGTCCATGACCAAAATAGAATTATATATACTGGAGAATGTGTGAAGAATGGCTTACCGGCCACTTACTGGGAGGGTGGCGGCTATGGCAAGTTTTCCCACCGGCATGACCGTGTATCCCCACCCTTCTAGCTGGTCGACAGAAGTGGAGGTTATTCTTGCAATGGCGATCATAGCAGAAAGGCTGGGTTTCCATTCTTTCTTTATTACTTTCTCAGTTCTTCCCTCATGACTGGATTGACGGGATTTACAAAGCCTTCCTCACTGCGGCTGGCTCCTGTCTTTCCTGTCCTCTTCCCGTGGAGAGGAGAGCCAGGAAGGCCCAGCTAGAAGCAGGGATGGAAGAAGCGCTCGATCAGCTCACGTCCCTCATAACCTGTGCTCCCTCTAAGCTGTGGGCGTCTTGTGAGCTCCTGGCATTAAAGTTGTGAGCGAGCCATTTGGCTACTGCATAAGTTAGTTTGCTCTGGAGCCCTCCTGCCTGAGCTAAGGCAAAAATGTGTGAGCTGGAGGCTAAAGAACTGAGCTCACACGAACTCAGCTTAGAGGGAACGATGCTCATAACCGGAATGATTCAGATGAGGGAAATGAGTGGGGGGGGACAGGTGGGAGGGCTTCTAATAGCCTTCACCCCTGCTCCCCTTTACTACTTCCTTCCTTCTCAACCAGGGGTCGTTTCGTAGAAAAAGAGCTAGTGGAACTCATTAGCATATGCCACACCCCCTGACATCACCGGAAGTGTGTCATAAGGCCACACCCCCTGACATCACTGGACGTGTGTCATAAGGCCACACACCCCGCCCCCAACGGTCCCGGCCGTTGCCGCCGGCCTTGCAGCTCCACTGCTGAGCCCCATGAGGGGCCCGGCGGTGGACCTGCAAGGCCGGCGGGAGTGCAAGGAAGCCCCGCGAAGGCCCTCCCTGGCCCCAGGCAGGCAGGGGTGGGGAGAGGCGGGGAGGAAGCAACTTACCCTCCCTCTTCTCCTGCCTCCTCCTGGCTGAATGAGGACCGGAAGCGGGGCGGCCGGGGCGGGGCTTCGTCATGTGCCCCGCCCCCGTACCTCACCCGGGGGAACTGCGATCCCCCGCAATCCCCCCTGAAATGACCTCTGCCCTAAACCCAGTCTCCCCCCCCCAGCCTGGGATTGCCAACCTCCAGACAGGGCCTGGATTTCCAGGTGACAGAGATCAGTTTCCCTGGATAAAATGGCAATTTTTGGAGGGTGGACTCTGTGGCATTGTACCCCATGGCGGCCCCTCCCCCCAAACCCCACCCTCCCCAGGCTCCACTCCCACATATCCAGGAATTTCAAAATCTGGAGTTGGTAACCCTACTCCAGCCCCTTGGTTTTGCAACAAATCCATGATGGTCCCCTCTCCCTGAACAAGTGGTGCCAGGGCTATTTTTGGGCAGGAACGCACAGGAACGAAGTTCCGGCTGGCTCCTGAGTTGGCCACACCCAGCAGGAACTCATTAGCATAATAGGCCACACCCAACAGCAGGAACCCATTAGGATTGGCTACATTCGGGGTGTGTGGCCTAACACGCAAAGGAGTTCCTGCTACAAAAAACGGCCCTGGGTTTTGGCAACAAACAAGGTAAACAGAATAAGAAGCAAAAGGTGGGTGTGGCTGGATGAGCACACTTCTGGTAACATGGGGGTGTGGCCTAATGTGCCAATGAGCTGTGCTGTCAGGGGTGTGGCCTAATATGCCAATGAGTTCCTGCTGTTGGGTGTGGCCTATTATGCTAATGTGTTCCTGCTGGGCTTTTTCTACAAAAAAAGCCCTGGGTGGTGCGCATGCCCCTTGCCAGATTTGTGCCTTCCTAAAGCACAAGCCATACACACACAGAACTGGCTTGTGATGCTTCCTGTCACAATCCGTATAAAATGATGGCATCAGAGACTGAAGTATGGAACAAACAAACTTTACTTCATACCGTGGGGTGTACTTCACAACATGCTCAAAATGGCTGCTGCTGTAGGTATCAAGGTTGGCCCATTGCGTGTGTTTTCAAAGACCACAGCCCCCCAAAAAACCTGTGCTTGAATCCAAAAAGAAATGTTTGCACAAGAATCTGCTCACTGATCTATGGAAAACCAGTAACTGTGAAAACTAACTTCTCTCAAAACGCATCTCTTGCTGTAGCTGATCTCAAAATACCCGCCACCCTGGCTTTCAGTTCTCGGCTGGTGTTCCCCAGAAATATTCTCCTCCATGAACATGGTCACAGAACATTTTGATTCCTACTGTCATTACGTGCTCTCAGCATTCCCCCCCCCAAAAAACACAAATATACAAGATGTGGGAGGACAATCCATACCCATCCAAGGGCACTGCCCACTTTGTGGGACTAAGTCACTCCTCAAGGAATATTTTAGCCTGTTAGCAATTAGTAGAATGCAGAACAGACCAGGGGCTCAGACTGTGGTTTTACTGGGTACAAAAAAGGTCCATTTCTTAATGGTTCTTGCCCAATCAAATACGGACATTTTTTTTGGTCTAAACAAATACAGCCAATTCACAGGCCAGATAATCTGCAACACTAAGAAATGAATCTACTTCCATTCACATTGGACTCCAGTAGGGCTCTACTGATGGGCCAAAATTTTCGTACATAGTATAGTGAAGCTAGGTGGAATATTTTTGAGAGTGGTGGAAGTCGTTCGATGGCACCTCTGCTGTTCTGTTAAAAAATAAAAAAAATACATTTCTTTCCCTTAGCAAACTCCAACAAAAAAAGAGAAGTTTGGAGGTTTTCAAAGTGGGTCCACTTGAACAGGGGAAAGACCTGGTTGTGGGAAAGTACCTATTGGCTAGCACCAAGGTCATCGGTCATACACTTTCCTCCTGCAATTCTCAATGCAACCTGTAACATTTTTTAAAAAGTTGTGATTTTCAAATGGAAAGGAATGACATTCAAATAAGCATACATGTGATACTTAATATTTGAAAAGATACACATTTTACATCACAGAAAAATGAAAGGAAGGCCAGTGAATAACAATTACTTGCTGTTCATTATGTCAGTAATCCAAGCTGGAAAACACACTTTATACTTTAGGTTCAAGAATCCATTGGGGTTGCTTTTAAAACCCTGTGTCTGTCTTTATCCCAACCTGAGGAATGTGTCTTGTCTGTTGTGATGCTGAAAACTTCTTGTATGTCTTTCTTCAGGTTGCTTCCAGACAGAGGCTTTTCTCTGCTTTGGTGTCCAAACTGAAGTCATTCTTTTTGTAGGCATCGCGCTCTGACCAGCCTTTCCCTGTCTTCAGTATGCTCTTTCCCAAACCTACTTTGCTATGAGTTTTTGGGTAAGAGGATAGTCCAAGTGCACTAGCATACCTTTCTAGACAGAAAAATGTGCCTTTTCCAAGGCCCTGCATAGATCAGTGCAATTTTCCTTCCACCAGCCAGTCACAGCCACTGTTTTCCCTGCAGCTTTTTGAGAGCCCTTAAAAACAATAAAGTTGCTATAGTGTTGTAATGCTATAGCACTATATCATGACAGCACTATAACAATTACTGATTCCAGAAAAAAAATGCCCTCTGGTGGCATAGCCAAGAAAAAGTGCAGGGAAAATGGCAACTGATGGAGGAAAACACAGAGAAAACTCCTTTTGGGGACACTCTATTACCAATCCAAATGCCTCTGCACTGAGAGCAGTAATGAATACAAAACTGAGAATCCTTGTTATGTAGATGCAGCCTCTCTTTTGTTCTGCAATAACTTCCCTTTCCTCCCCACCCCCTGCCTGCCTCTACAGCTAAAACCCTTCCCTCATCAATAGATTACATGCAATGTTCCCTCTAAGCTGTGGAGTCTTGTGAGCAAAAATTCTACTTTGTGAGCTGCTGGCATTAAAGTTGTGAGCGAGCCATTTGGCTACTGCATCAATTAGTTGGCTCTGGAGCCCTCCTTCCTGAGCGAAGGCAAAAATGTGTGAGCCAGAGGCTAAAAAAACTGTGAGCTAGCTCACACTAACTCAGCTTAGAGGGAATACTGATTACATGTACTCGTTGCTTCCTGCCCTGGCCTCCCGCTGATCTGGCACCCAAGAGTAATTGTCAGCCGCACTCTTCACTTCCTTTTTGGCTTTCTTGACCTTCGTTTTCCTGTAGCTGACCAAGATTAGAACACAAGCCAGCAGTACGACAAAAGCCGCGACACCACCAAAAATATAATACAGGAGTTGCTTGGAGCTGCCTGTGTTTGTTTGTGCGCTCTCGTCTCCGGCCTGGTCTTCAGCCTCTAGTGGCCTGCTGGGCACCTCTGGTTGAAAAGTGGTACCCTGTGAGACGGAGATCCTTTCTTGTTCTGCTTGGGTCGAAGAGTCAGGCAGCGGTGGCTCGGATCCAGGACGAATGTCCATTGGGTCCCCCAGTTCTCCTTGGACAGGTGGGGCGGAAGTGCTGGTGGTGGTAGCCAAGAGGCAGGAGATCCCGTTTGGGTCCAGTCTCCAACCCGGCCGGCAAAAGCACTGGTAGCTGCCTGGGAGGTTTTTGCACATGTGCTCGCAAGGCTCTTCCTGGCACTCATCCACGTCCAGACAAGAAGAGCTATTGATGCCCTCCAGCTGGTAGCCCGGCTTGCAGGAGCAGAGGAAGGAGCCCTGAGTGTTCGCACAAAGTTGGGCGCACGGCTTGACCCCGGCACATTCGTCAACGTCCTGACACGTCTGCCCATCTGCCTCGGCCAGTCTGTAGCCTGGGCGACAGAGACACGTGAAGCTGCCCAAAGTGTTAGCGCAGATCTGCTGGCAAGGGTTCAGAGGGGCAGCGCATTCGTCCACGTCCACACAGTTCCGGCCGTCGGCAGCCAACACGTAACCTGGAGGGCAGAGGCAGTCGAAGCCACCGGTGTGTGGCAGACACTGCCCCTGGCACGGATTGGAGCTGCAGTAGTCCACGGGGATGCAGGAAAGACGGTCCCCTCCGAGCTGGTACCCTGAGCGGCAGGTGCACCGGAAGAGGCCCCCGCCCAGCTCCAGGCACTGGTGCTCACAGCCCCCGTTGCTGTACTTGCACCCATGGCTGGGCGAAGCGCACAGCGGGCCCTGGCTGCTCCATTCAAAGGTGTTGCCGTTTGTGTTCGCTTGCATCTTACACACGAGGAAGGCATCGGGCACCTCTGCCCCCTGTGGTCCGCACGCCACTTCAGCCGTGGAGCCGAAGGGCACAGCTAGCAGGGAAGCGGTGACTACGCCGAAGGGGGTGGTGTACTTGACGGCCCCTGGCCCGGCCAGTGCCAGCGGGCGGCACATCCCCTGGAAGCTGAACTTGCACAAGTAGCCGGCCTCCCCCTGAGTGGACCGGCTGCAGTGGCCATCCACCCAGGCCAGGCCCCCGGCCGGGAAGGGAGGCCCCTGGAGGGTGACGCATCGCTGAGCCGTGCATGTTTCCCGGGGCTCCTGGGCCCAGTTCGAGTACTCGGCCTCTTGGTCTCCTGCCACCCAGGCGAAGCCCTTCAGCGGCCGATGCCCCTGGTAGCATTTGCCCTTCTCCCGATGGAGCCCGATCCACAGCCTTACCTCCGCCTCAGAGCCGGCTCCCCGCCCAGGCGTGCTCGACAGGAGCTGCCCGACCAGCTGCTCTTCCTCCGGGCTCTTCAGCGTCGCCAGGTTCCCCCCATTGTTTTGACACTTCTTCTGGGCCTCCGGCCAGCTGAGGCTCCCCCAGTGCATCGTGTAGCAAGAGAACTCAGAGCACAGGGTTTCCACCGCCTGCCCCGGCTGGACCACCAGGCCCAGCAGCAGCCCGGGCCAGACGGTCTGGAGGAGAATCGCCATCTTGACTGAGCGAAGGAGCAGCCAGCGGAGGGCTCTTCCCCTCGCCGGCTCCAGTGGCACTAAGGAGTCTTTGGAGAGAGATGCTGAGACAATGGAGGGCAGACTGTTTGCATCTCACATCCCTCCGGCTTTGCGGTTGGGTCCATATGTATCCTGTGTTGTTGTAGCTCTCTTATTTATCACCGGAGACTAGAGCTTCCTGAGCACACTGTTAGTATTGTTAAAGGCAGCTCTTGGTAGTCCGAGTTGGTTTTAAAGTCATAATTCGTGGGAAGGCTCCCGTTCTGCATTTTTGTGTTAAACTTAGCCCCTTTGCTTCATATGAGAAACTTGCCAGTGTGCTCCTTGCCTTGCCTTTTTTGTTAAGTAGTCAGACATTATGGAGCTCCTAAACAACCCAAATAGGGATTTCCAGCGGTTAAGCAGGCGATGCGATTTTTTGGAAAGGGAAGGGAGAGCGCATGATTTGGAGAGGTCATCACATAGTTTTGCCACTTCTTTTTTTCCCCCGGCTAGAAGGAAAACATAAAATGGCTTCTTCGCAAGATTAATCTCACATTCTGATGATCCTGAAATAGCCCCAGAAGCCCTTAAATAGAAACTGGGTCATGGGAATATCTAAACTCTAAAAGCTGCTGAGCCAAGTTTTCAAACCAATCGTGACCTGGTATAAAGTCCTCCTGATTCAGCTTAAGCCAATAGGCCTAAATTCCTGTTGAGTCGAACGGGTTTAGAGTTTCGCCCTAGAATAGCTGCACACAGTTTTCAAGGCACGATGGTGGCTTAGGAAAGCCACGCATGAATTAGCAAGGTCTGGCGAGTTTCTGACTTGTAGCGGCTGTATTTTAACTGATCTGTCTCCAAATGCAAACAGGAATTGTCAGCAATGGAATATCCTGCAAAAATTCATACATCTAATTCCAAATGGTGCCATAGAGAATAATGTAGTCTGTCAGAAGGGGGCCAGATTGCCTTCTATATAATAATAATAATAATAATAATAATAATAATAATAATAATAATAATAATTTCCATTTATTAATCGCTTTCCCCAGTGGGCTCAAAGCGATGTACAGTTACTCAAATACAGACAAGGGACTAACAATGTTTGTAGGGGATAGGGAAGACAACATATATATTCATTTTAACTGCACACGCCGATACTGCTCGGTATATTCCAAACTGTGCGTCCTGGGTCAGGGCAGACTCAGCCAAGACCAAGGGGACGAGGCAGAATCACTAACCGGAAGCGTGAGGCAAGAGTTCAGTCCAAGGGTCATACACAAAGGAAGCCAGCCGAGGGTCCAAGAAGCAGGGTTCAAGCAGGTTTGAGAGGCGTTGTCATTCAAGCAGGTCTGGGGTCAAGGCCAAAGGTTCAGGAACAGCAGCCAGAAACAGGTCAGGGTGGCGTGGAGGCACGTTTCCAGAGAGAGAACAGGTTGCTCCCAGTCCTTCTTTCTTTCAGCCCCGTCCTTTTATCAGCAGCTCACAGCTGGGTCTCGTTGCTTGCAGGAGCACTGTCCATTAACTCCAGTCGCCAAGGCAGCAAGGTGTGCGCTCTGCCTCCTCTCGAGGAGCTCCAAGCATGCCCGCCTCCCCCCGCGCAGGGCCAGGCCCAGGTTTTTTTGCACACTAGGCGAGGATACCTTCTGACGCCCCCCCCCCCGTGCGCCCCCCAATTTTCAAACATAAATGCATTTTCGGAAGATTGAACTACACAAAATCTGAAAGGTTGAGAGGTCGGTGGGGCTGAGAGAGCTCTTTCGAGGACTGCCCTTGAGAGAACAGCTCTGAGAGAACTTGTGGCTGAGCCAAGGCCACGCCAGCAGCTGCATGTGGAGGAGGAGTGGGGGAATCCAACCCGGGTCACCCAGATTAGAATCTGTGCTCCTAACCACTAATTCCTGGGGGTGGCCAGTGGCTCCTGCTCCTCCAAGAGGAGGACAGCTGTGCTTCTGAGTACACTGAAAGACCCAGCGGCGCGCAGCAGTCACCCACCTGGTCAAGAAAGTTGCAGGGCTTTTGGCGGGGGGGCTTTTGGTGGGGGGCCGGGTGCCAGTTTGGTGCCCCTAAGGGCCGGCGTGCTCTAGGCGAGCACTTAGTTCACCTAGTGAGCGAGCCAGCCCTGCTCCCTCATTCCCCTGGCTCCAGGGACTGAGGAGGCGAGGCAGCCTGTAAAGTTTCCCCACGATCTTGGCTTGTCTTTTCTGTGTTCACAGTGTTCGTGGGGCTGGAGTGCCTGCTGTCTTCATCAACTGGGGCACTAGGACCTGCCTCTGCCATCTCAGGGTCCTTAGCACCATTAGCTGGCTGGGGGCTGTTGTCAGCATCAGCTGAGTGCTCTTCACTTAAAGCAGACTGGCCCACGACACCGTGCCACAAAGAGTATAGCCGGCGATATGGCCCTCTTCTGACAGACTGTGTAGTCCAGCGTCTGTCTGTGGGGCTGGGCCAGCCTTCCCGTGGTGCCTGACTCAGCCACAGCAAAAGGCAGTAGGGCCCAGTGAGAAAAACAACAGGGAGGCCTGGGGAGTTGGGGGGGGGAGCTTCAAGGCTCTGCCCCCTTCCCCCCCCTTCTAACCCTCTCCTGGGAAAAGTAGGGTTGCTTAGCTGTGCCACGAAGATCCCGGCCACCCACTTTCCCCACCCTGAATGATGACTCCGTCGAAGATGCAACAAGAAAGACTCCTCAAAAGTTCTAGATATACCATTATTAATGATCTCCATTAAGAGCAAAAGCCGCACAGTGCAAAATAGGGTTGCCAAATTTAGATCGTCCGGGAGTGGGGGGCTCCCGGACGATCCCGGGCACGTGCGTGCCACCCGGAAGTGACGTCGCACGCTGGGGGCGGGGCCACGCGATTTGAGGGGGAAACTCTTTGTTTTCCCCTCAAATCGCGTGGCCCCGCCCCCAGCGTGCGACGTCACTTCCGGGTGACGTGCACGCGGGGGTGGGGTTTCCCCCGGGCCCCGATTCCGGCGCGCCGGTAATCGGAGGTCCGAAGCGGGGGAATCCCCGCCCCCCTGGCTGCATTTGGCAGCCCTAGCTGCAAAACGATAGGTCTTAAAATAAAAGCAAAACCGAGAACTCATTGCCATACAACTAATAGCCGCAAAACCTGTATTAGCTCAGAAATGGACGTCAAATGAGATCCCTGCAATTAAGCGATGGTTTTTAAAGGTATGGGACATTGTAGTGAGGGACAAAATCTCAGATCAGTTGGTAATTGCAGACAATTCTACCAATCAGTCATGTTTTACAGATAAATGGTACTGTTCCTTTGATTACATTTCAAGTAACGCAACAAGTGAGAATGTGCTACCTAAGAAGTATTTGCATTTTTCATTATATTAACATCCTGAATGCGAAAAGCTCCCCCTTTCAGCTTCTTTTGATGTCATTGTTAACTTGCTGGTTTATAATGCTAAATTATTAACTTACTGTTTACAAATTTGTATGTATTTTTCTAAGATGTAATACTATATATATATATACACACACACACACACATATATACATACATATATACACACACACATATATATATGTAAAGGTAAAGGTTCCCTTGATCGAAAGCCAGTCAAATCCGACTCTAGGGTTGCGATGCTCATCTCCGTTTCAAAGCCAAAGAGCCAGCGCTGTCCAAACACGTTTCCGTGGTCATGTGGCTGGCATGACTAAACACCAAGGTGCACGGAACGCTGTTCCCTTCCCACCGAAGCGGTACCTATTTATCTACTTGCAATTTCTTGCTTTCGAACTGCTAGGTTGGCAGGAGCTGGAACTAGAGACTGGAGCTCACTCCATCTTGCGGCACACTCGGGTCTCGAACTGCTGAACTACCGACCTACCACAGCCTGCAGTTCAGCATCTTAACCACTTGAGCCACCGCAGCTCCTAAGAGACGAACAAAAGTTTCAGGGTAGGAGCTTTCAAGAGTCGAAGGTGGCTTCTCACCTGACAGAGGGAGCTCTGACTCTCGAAAGCCTACACCCCGAAAATCTTGTTGGTTTCTCAGGGGTTCCTGGACTCGAAGCCTATATATATATGACTGTGTTACTATTGATCCTCCATTATTCCCCGCCACTCCTGGCCCCCCACAGTCTTAGGACTCGGCCAGCGCCTGGAGACACTCGGCACCAAATCCTCTTTTCGGCTTTCTGCTTTTAGCACCCTTGTGATCCCCCCAGATATCAAATCCCACTGGGTCACAGCCTACAGCTGTAGTTCCTCCCAGCTGGTTGCTACCCTAGTCTGTCGATCCACCATCTGTTGTAGCATTGCCAATAACCAGGTTGGGAAAGTCCTAGAGATCTGGGGGTGGGGACCTCAGTGGGGGGCAATGCCACGGACTCCACCCTCCAGAGCAGCCATTTTCTCCAAAGGAACTGATCTCTGTAGTCAGGAGAACAGTTGTAGTTCTGGGAGATCTCCAGGCATGACCTGAACATAAGAACATAAGAGACGCCAATGTTGGATCAGGCCAAAGGCCCATCCAGTCCAACACTCTGTGTCACACAGTGGCCAGAAATACCAGGGGCCATCAGGAGGTCCACCAGTGGGGCCAGGACACTAGAAGCCCTCCCACTGTTGCCCCCCCAAGCACCAAGAAGACAGAGCATCCCTTGCCCCAGAGTCCCTATCTATACCTTGTGGCTAATAGCCACTGATGGACCTCTGCTCCATATAACATAAGAACATAAGAGACGCCAATGTTGGATCAGGCCAAAGGCCCATCCAGTCCAACACTCTGTGTCACACAGTGGCCAGAAATACCAGGGGCCATCAGGAGGTCCACCAGTGGGGCCAGGACACTAGAAGCCCTCCCACTGTTGACCCCCCCAAGCACCAAGAAGACAGAGCATCACTTGCCCCAGAGCCCCTATCTATACCTTGTGGCTAATAGCCACTGATGGACCTCTGCTCCACATGTTTACCTAGTTCCCTCTTATAAGAACATAAGAGACGCCAATGTTGGATCAGGCCAAAGGCCCATCCAGTCCAACACTCTGTGTCACATAGTGGCCAGAAATACCAGGGGCCCTCAGGAGGTCCACCAGTGGGGCCAGGACATTAGAAGCC